CACCGCCAGAGCGACACCGAGACCGCTGTAGAGAACCAGGGGGGGCAAACGCTGGAGAGACGACTGTCTTCTCAAAGCGCTCTGAAACGCGGCCGCAGTGCCAACCCGTCCCCTTCAAGCAACAAGAAACTCCAGCCTTTTGGGTTGTAGCCCAGCAGTCTCTATTAGGAGCAAAGTGTAGATAACTGGGTACAGCAAGGCTAGAAAACGCTGCTTGAAAAGCCCAGAAGAGTTTCAGCTGTCTTTGCTACTCTTGCCATTTGTGATCGAGAAGAATCAGATCAAAAAGCCGTTAGCTCAGCACTGAAAATGAGCATGACCCTGCTTTGCATAGGAGGGAGGCTGCAGCCTCACGTCTAGCAATTATCAAAGCTACAAATGATAATTTACAGGTTCTGCATCCAAGATCTCAAGCCCCAACTTCTACATTTATTAACAGACTTAAAATGCAGGTTTTACAAACGGGGAGATTAGCACATCACGTGGCTCTACTCCTCACAACAGTCATGGCAAATTATCAAACTCTTTGTTACACAACCTCTCTTCAGAGATACAGCCTCAAAGCGATGCATTCGTCCCAAATGTCCCACTCTTTGTATGAAATAGCTCGGAGCACCGCGACTCCTCATCGTGATTCAGCCCTAAGGTATTTAGCGGAGATGTATACGCTTAGAAAACTCCATTTTCCCTCACTTTTGGACCTTCAGAGTTTGCAGGTCACATGAGGTCTTGTAAATACAGGCTCAGCTCAAGATCTGCTAGCATGAGTTTGTTTTACACACAATCTGTGCCTATTCTATCTGTGTGTCCTTATATTTTTATATCTTTGTTTATCTGAAAGAGTCAGCCCCAGGGAACAAGTGTTCCTGACATTCTACTTCACCATCGCACCTCTTCCTGCTTCTTTCTGTTTCATAAGGAAGATCGGCTGCTTGCTATACCAGCTTATGCACTTGCGTTGCATCTCTACACTTCAGGGGTTTAAGGCATTTTATAAATACAAGTAATCTAAGCTTCCTCATCCCTGGAGCGAACTATCCCGCATCTTCCTGACAGATAGCAAAGCAAGAGGCATAGAGGAATAGGGAGCGCGCAGTGTCAAGCAGCAAGTCAGAAAGAGCACATAGGAGAATTCTTCAAAAGTGTCACAGCTGTACAAAAGGTTCTTCATCCATTTGAAAAAAACCTACCTGAGATTGTCATCTTGGATACTTCGGCAGACCTGGAAGGGAAGCCGCTCCTGTTTGGGACATGGAGTCACTATTTATTCAGTGCTATGATCAGAACCGAATTATTTGCAGCATGTGTAAAAAGCAGGGAAAATACTTTTAAAAAGCCCCTTATGGAAAAGGCTGCTGGCTGGAGATATTTGTTCTAAAAAGAAAACACAATCCTACGGTTTACCTCCAGGCTAGCTCTTATCAGGGTCTTCACCTATCACACCATGCCGCTTCTCCCAGCTGCAGTCAGATCTGAAATGCTCTGTAGATGGAAAAGAGCTTAGAGCAATCACGAGCTGCTCTCACAGTCAAACATCTGCTCACCCAAACAGCATTCCAGGCGTGCGTTACACCTCCCAGCTTCACAGCAACACACAGGGACAGCAGGGAAGAAAGGGGAAACTATTTCTCAGGCATTTACATTTGGTTTTAATAGTCAGGGAGCCTTTTGGATGCATGACTGGCATCCATGTTTTTACCCCAGGGAAAAAAGGCATCTCAGGCTCCATGCTGCTGTCTGCTGGGAGGAGAAGACTGCTGTGAAAATGAGGTTTTCCTCTTCTCTTGGACTCTGTTAACATCCTTTTTGTCTTACACAGAAGCTAACAGCCAGAGCACACATTACAGAGGCAAGACTTGCAGCAGGGCTATGGAAAAAGTAATATACTACCTATAAGGTCCCTCTCCCCCACTAGCCTTCCTCCTGCTTTTCGTCATAGAATCACAGAATGGTTTGGGTTGGAAGGGACCTCAAAGATCATCTAGTTCCAACCCCCCTGCCATGGGCAGGGAAACCCTCCACTACACCAGGTTGCCCAAAGCCTCATCCAACCTGGCCTTGAACACTTACAGGCATGGGGCATCTACAACTTCTCTGGGCCAACACAGAAGCTAAAATACATTTTAAGGCACACTCCCCCTGCACTCGCTTCGTCGACTTCCATGAGTCTCAAAACTGCAGTCCCTCGAGGCCATAGAGAGTCCTGCTCCTCCGGTGACTTCTATTTTGTCTTGGGCTGGTTCTCCAAGCGGGTGACCGACTGCTGCTTTTGCCGAGGGCTGGCACCATCTGCAGGCCCTGCAAGTGAGGGGAGATGAAGTACTCGGTTAAGTTTCTCACACTTCGATTTGAGTCTCCTTGCCAGTCAAAATGGGGAAGAGACAGATTGCCATGGGCTTTGGAGGGGAGAGTTTGGCAAAGGCACTAGGATCTGCACATCATTGCCTTAAGAAAATCCCAAGGTGACACTTTCAGTGGCAGCAGTATGTTGTCACATGGCTAACTCAGATTAAACTTTGTACTTCACATATGGATTAGGCTAGGATTATGAACACCTCTGAAAATGTGATTTTTCTCTTCCTAAGACGTTATTTTTGGCTAAGAGGGAGATGGAGTGTAACTCATTCTGGAACATTGCCCATGTCATCTGTTGGGGGAAAAAAAAAAAAGGAAAAAAAAAAGGCATAAAATTTGGCTGTAAAACCCCTACCCATTGACTGCTTTCACAACTGGACTGTTTGTGTTGCATTTAAAGGTCTTTAGGTTCAGACTGCAACAGGGCAAGTGCTGAAGAATATAATGGTGCCTCCTGCACCAGCCAACCTGATACATCATGTACTCACCCTTGACTTGCTTCTGTAGGACCTGTCCTTTGACGCGATCAGCATTGCTCTTCTGGATGGTGCTTGCAGGAGCGTTGTCTTTTGGCAGCACTTCTAGTGGAGTCCCGTCTATCAAAGGCAGGGAGAGCTTCGTTATGAACAGTGGGAGCAGAGCACGGTTTAAAAACATTTTGCAATGCACCATTTTTTGGTAAAAAGTAAGAAAAATTAATCATCATCAGTAAGCATCCCTTACCAGAACGGGGAAGGATTCTGGTATTTTGCAATGCACCATTTTTTGGTAAAAAGTGAGAAAAACTAATCATCATCAGTAAGCATTCCCTTACCAGAACGGGGAAGGATTCTGGCTACATTTCAATAGGATTTGGGTATCCAGTTCCCCTAAACATCCTGGCCTTCTGTGTCTGCATAAAGCAAAATGACTGAAGCTGACAGATGATCAGTGCAGCCTGTCATGTCTTGGCTCCTTGGAGACCCTGCTGTGGAGGTCAAGTATGTGAAACTATCTGAATGACTAGACTGAGATCAGCAACTTGACAGATGATCAGTGCAGCCTGTCATGTCTTGGTCTCCTTGCTGTGGAGCCCAAGGATGTGAAACTGTCTGAATGACTAGACTGAGATCAGCAACTAATTGCATGTGAACCTAACTGAACACTAGTTTTTACTCCTAGGTTACAAAGGCATAGTTGAGGCAGCGCTCTGCAAAGGATATGTTTTCTATCAAAAGCTACTTAGACCATATAAAAAAACCAAGATCAGATAACAAATAGTTCTGCTCATTAGCCTTCACACTGGCTTATTTCTCACATGGCAATCCATCTTTTCCAACAGAGCTGATGCAGGATGTCACCAGTGGCTCTTTGGCCCCTACCTGAATAGTGGCTGATAGGAACCTTGACCTTTGTGGCAATGGATATGCTACTCGCAGCTTTTGACTGGTGGAAGAGTCCAGCTCGGTGCAGGTGGTTCTCATAAGCTTTGTCTGTATCGGGGCTTGAGGGAGTCCACTGATGCTTAGCTTTCCAGGTCTGAAAGACATCGAGTTGAGTTAACCTCAGTGGTGGTGTCTCTCACCTCTAGTTGTTGCCACGTTGTACCAAAAAGATTCCCTTCCCCCCTGCCTGGCTTAGCTTGCTGTTTAGGCAGGAAGTCAAGGGCGTTATAGAAGAATAAAGATATTTAACTTATTTCCTCATGCAGTTTGTACTACGTTTCTCTTATTGTATTTGAAACCCACCCTAGCTCCACTGGGTCTATGCCTTCTGCTCAACCCATCCCCTTTAGAAAGCAACACAAAGGACCTACCCTGTGGAAGTTTCGTTCGAGGGAGCGAGATCTTTTCTTTCTGGCTGTCCTCTCAGCAGACATCTCCTGGTCTCTCCTGTTCTTCAGCACTCCCCTGGCTGGGGAGCATAGCTGGGTTCCAGCTGCGGGCTCTGACAGCAAACTCTGGGTACTTGCACTACCTCGTGTCTTACAATCTGGGATGGAATTGTCCTCTAGATACTTCATCTCAAGCACATCCTCCTCAGAGAAGGGGGCTGAGGAGACTTTGCTCCCAAAGTCTCTGTGTTGGGCTCTGGAGCGGCGACTGGCTGCAATAAGGGAGATGCTTTTGGTGTCGGCAGCAATTTCCTTCAAGGTCTTCAGACTCAGTGGAACAGCAGCAACGTCTGCAGCTGACTTGTTCTTATGCAGGTCTAGAGAGGTGGGGGAACACAGCCTGGAAGTCATCTTTCCTGCAGCAACACCTGTTGGTTTCTGCTAAAAATCAAAGCAATTGCCACATAATCTGCTTTTCCTTAAAAACTTTTATACTTTTCCCCTTCAAAGTACTTTCAAACATTTGGAAGACTTTAAATTTCACCTGAAATATTGTTATAACAACTTCTACGTATAAAGAAACAAAGGCAAAGCTTTTTTTATATCCCCCATGTAGAGCCATGGCTACAAAACGAGTCAGCTGATGAGCAAGAGACTGATGAGCTCCTAACTGTCCCTCCTGTTCCAAGGTGCTGAGTGAAAATGGTCTTACCAGACAGTCATCAAACCAGGATCAGTTAATGGCATAAAAGGAGGTGATCGTCCTGGCCATCACAGGTCCCCTCACACCAGATTGCATGGTGCTTCTCTATTTACAACTCCTATCACTCCACTGGACACGCTGGAGGCTGAGTGGAGGAAGAGCCCAACTGGAGGTGGCAGCTAAGCCTCTTCTTCACATGGAGGAAGAGCCCAAACTGGAGGTGGCAGCTAAGCCTCAGCCTCTTAAGTAAATCCCAGGCTTTAAATCCAAGGCCAGTGCTCTAGGTGTGATTTTATGGCCTGCTAAGGTTTACCCTCCTCACATACAATAGATTTAGCTGCTGTGCAGGTTCTGTCATCACAAGAGGAAGGTGCTATCCATGACAAATGTGCCTTGAATTCAGTTCCTGCCATACTGACCTGCTGAGCTGGGCTTTTTGGCAAGCCAGAGAAAGTTGGGCTGAGATGGATATCCAGAGCCTCCTCCTTCCTACAGGGTGTCGTTCTGGATGATCTTTCACTGTGAAAAGAATATACTAAGAGGTTAACAGATGAAAGCACACGCCCTTTATCAACAGGAAGAGATGAAACATGTCTAGCTGGGAGCTCTCAAGCTGTGGGGAAAGCCAGAAGCCTGGTAAACATGGTAATAAAGAACGCAGCAAGGAAGGACTTCAGAATTCATGAAGATTTTGTCCCCTGATCCTCACAAACTTTGCTGCTTTATTTGATTTAAATGCTTGCCAGTCAACAGAAGCAAATCCAAACATCTCCCATAGCCCTCTCTGCAGAGAAAGTTCCTGCTAAAACACAGAAATACTTTGCAAGAGCATTATACCAGGAAACTCTTTTTCTAACAGATTCCAGTTTCTAGAGTTTCTTCCAGTTGGATATCTCCCAGCTTTGGGGAGTTAGCTGGGAGTTGCCAGGTCCCCATAAGCCCTAGAGAATAGTGAATGAGAAAGATTCACATTACCTGTCTGACTCAAGGGTGATGGAGGGAATGTCAAACTTCACCCTCCAGGGAAGATCCTTCATGTTCCCAGGTAGACCCTTACTGATCTCATCTTTATTAGGATCCAGATGCTGATTTACAGCCGGTGAAGGGCTGTTGTGGGGCTGCAGGAAGACGGAAGAATGAGATCCTCAGCAGACTTTTCTCTCTGTAAAGCCCTTCCCCAGCCCAGGCTCTCAGCCTGTGGTCACAAAGACACTCTTGATACCTCGTGTGCTTTTCCATAGTTCCAGCCACCTGCTACTTGCTCCCCTCCTGTGGAAGGGTACTCGAAGTAGTTTAATCTCTCATACAACAACATGACTAACGTTAAGTGTATTATTCAAGGTGAAACCCAATTCCTTGCCCCATTTGTTCTAGGCAATCATAATAAACAGGAGATGCTGCTGCTTGGACTCCCTGCTGAAGACTGTGGCAATTTCCTGGCAGCCCCTTATTATCTCAAAACACACACACGTGTTTTGAAGACAAAGGGGCTGGCAGCATCTTTTTTTTTTCCTTGCAGGGAAGACCTGAGGACCTCAATAACAACCATGCCATGAGCGAGCAGAGGCCTCCAGATAAGATGGTCTCCTTCAACGGTCACTTGCAGAGCTGCATGTTTGGCCATCTCATCTTTGTTTTTCTGCTTCCCACCAAGGCAGTTCTCTCTCTCAAATCTGACATAGCAGCAACTGGGAGGATGAACACGCTAGCTCATGGACAGCCCTGCCTGGGTCCTTTTCTGTCACTAAAAGCCTTATTAATTCTCCAAGTCAAAGGGAAGGAAAGGCCTCCAGATAAGATGGTCTCCTTCAACGGTCACTTGCAGAGCTGCATGTTTGGCCATCTCATCTTTGTTTTTCTGCTTCCCACCAAGGCAGTTCTCTCTCTCAAATCTGACATAGCAGCAACTGGGAGGATGAACACGCTAGCTCATGGACAGCCCTGCCTGGGTCCTTTTCTGTCACTAAAAGCCTTATTAATTCTCCAAGTCAAAGGGAAGGAAGGAAGGAGAGCAGAGCTCCAGAGACAACATGGTTCATAAAACAAAGCTCTGTACAGCTCCTGACTGGCACCAGGATCCAGCCAGGCTTTGGGGGTGTGTGAATCTATGGCCGTGACACAAGATCATGGGACACTGTGGATTCTCCAGCACAAGGCTCTGCTCTGCCTTACCCTGAGCATGCTGGACATCACTGAATGTAGCAGAAGCAGGCGGCTCAGCGTCCCCTCTTCTGACTCAGAGAGGTGCAGGTGGTGTAACCTTGCCAGTGTCTCTGGGACAGGAATGTTCTGGGCTGGAGCAGAGATGGAGGAGGAAGAGTTAGAGATCACTCCCAGAGAAACGACTGAGAACTGTGGAGCCATGACATCCAAGACAAGGTTTTATAGGTGGATTGTTCTCCAGTTTGCCATCAGAAAACAAAGCTTGGAGATGATGACAAAGTGAGAGCAAAGGTGCTGCTTTACCTTTTATCAGCACCTGCTGCAGCTGAATTATTTCTTTGCAGAGTAGCATGTGCTGCTGCAGTTGCTGGATCACAAAATCCTTCTGGCACAATAGATTCTCCTTGTAGAGTGTATTCTCCTGCAGCTCTGTGTTGCCAAGCTCAAGCTCATGGGCTCTGCAGAGAAGTCTGAGCACCTCCTGCTGATCCTTACTGGTGATTTTCCTGGGGAAAAACTCCTCCATCTGGGAAGCTTTTTCCTTGGCATTTGCTAAGTGCTGCTCCAGCTCTGTCTGAAAAAGATAGGGGTTTGTCAAGGCAGTTCAGCTTCTTGGAACGACAAAGGCATCTGAGCAATTCTCTGCTGTGTCCTTCACGCTGAGATTAAAGTAACATCTACGAAAAATATTTTGCTTATTCTACTAGCAGCCACCATGTCACGGCAGATATATCCAGAGGCACAGTCCCTGTCTAGAGGAACGTTAGCCACCAAAAAAATAATCACCAAAAGTGATTACCAAAACATCGAACAACCAGTGAGTGACAAACCCTCAAAAACGACCCTGAAAGGGGAAATGGGAAGAATTAGCTCACTTATGAGTGCAGAAGCCCAGTGAGTGCTTTTCCCTCATCCTAAAAAACACAGGGACAGAGGCAGGATGCAAACATCAACATTCCCATGCTGTTTCCTTCAGCAGCCAAACGTATTTAGGAGTCGAGCTGCAATACAGGTGCCACACTGCTTTGGCAGTGCCAGCCCAAAACCACAAGAACCTCTGAGTTATACTGCTGCCATCCTGTCCCCAAGCACCGGCTGGGCAGAGGTCAGACCTGTGACCATAAGGGCACCTTCTCCTCCTCACCTTCAGGGCTGCTGTCTTGCGCTGTTCTGCCAGCAGCAGGTTGATCTCTTCTCTTGCTACTGTAACTTCGTGAGGTTCAGGTGAATCCATGATATCCACTTCCCTGTCTTCCTCCTCTCTGTTTCTGTCCTTCTCCTCCTTTGCTGGCTTGTCATAGTCGCACGCACCCTGAGCCTTCTCTTGTTCCCAGCTGCCAGCAAAAAAAGGAAGGAACTTCTGCGACATGGTGACATAACTGACAATGCATGCATAGCCCTTCATTGATCTGTCCAACTTCTTGCATGACAGCAGTAGAACTAATTAGTCCAGGCTGCTCTGGAGCTGAACAAACCATGCAGATGAGTGCAATTAGCTTCCAACCGTTTGGAGGTCTGTAAGACAGGCCTCCTATGTGATCTTTCCACGGCAAGGGGAACAGTGCTTTTCCCCAACTCATCCCAAATTGTTGCGTATTCACAGCTACTCGTTGAATATCTTTGATGTCCTCAAGACTGTTTTAACTACAAATGACCCAAATCCTAAGGGACTATAAAATTTACAGAGGTGACTAGTGTTAATGAGAGGGAACTGACACCTACTTACAATTTATCCAGAAGAAAGGGATGATGCTGCTTTCTCTGACATGAATTCATGCCCAGATGCAGTGCATCTGCATGGAAACCACGTCACAAACAGAGTGACTGGTCTACAGAAGGTCCAACAATCCCGGTCTGCACTGCCATCCAGTTTTTCCATTAAAGTGCAAGTCCAGAATAAGGTCCAAATAGTCTTGAGCTTCAACTTGCTGCTAGAGGTAGCTGGTTGCCTTACCTCTTGCTATATCAGGCAATTGCACTGCAGTGCAGCACCACGTGCAGGCTGTAGTCTCCTTACAAGCACCAGGAGGAATTAGGGATGTTGTTTCTCAATAACAGAAACCACCCATTGCAAATATAGCACCTTAATCTAAGGCTCAGAGTCTCTTGGACTTAATCTACCATAAATCCCTGGGTACCTTTTGCAGACCACCACCCTCCCAAATTTTCCCTCCTCGCATAGGTAAATCTCAAACCTACACTTAATCTCATCCTTTTGTCATTTTTGTTGAGGGGACCATGGGTTATTGACATTTCTTATGGTGAGTTTGGAGGTCCACGTATAAATGGTGCTGCAAGCTAAGGAGGTACTCACTCTGAGATTGTTAGGAGGTGCCTGCAGGTATCGACGTGCAGCTGAATGTTGGTGTTTTCCAGCTCCATCAAACTGCGACGCATCTCCATTTGCTCCCTGAAAGCCCCGATCAGCTGTACCCGCAAGGTGTTCATAGCCTGGCCACTGTGTGCCTCAGAGCCTTGCTGCCTCTCTGCTGCAGGAGAAGACATTTCTGATCTGGTGTTAGGCTGGGTGAACTTCTGCCAAGTCCCCACAAAACTGCTGTGGGACCAAGCCACTTGGTCCACGTGTTACAAGGCGTTTGTTTATAGGACTCTGCTTCATTCCGCAGCCTCTTGAAGTTAATCATGTGCTTAAGAAATCTGATACATCTTTATGATTGTATTATTAGTGATAAATAGGTCTCATTGCTACTGCTTCTCTGAGTATTAAGAGGATACTGCATTGCAGGGACATCTTTTCTGTCTTTCCATTCACCAAAAAGAAAAAGGTATCAGTTTTCTGTGCTTGTTGTCTAGACATGACCTTGGGCATTGCAGCAGAGGTCTATTATACCTCGTGTCGTGTCTGTCAGAGAACTCGACTATTTTTATTTCGTTCCTTGCCAGATTCATTGACAAAAGGAACAATCTCCAGCGCAGAACAATCAGTGTTTTAAAAGCTTCGCCTTGCCCTCCTCCCTATTTTTTTTTTTTTTATTTAAGTGCAACAAACCATAAAACAGAGCTCCGTGTCCTGACACGGCCTCAGAGCCCGCGATGATGCGGGCTGCAAACTCGGTCACCTCTCTGTGAGACTCAGGACTTCCCACAGCAAATGCTACCACTTGATGTTAAAGCTCTTTTCAAGGGCAGGTTTGTGAAATTTGACACATTTCAACATTGGGGAAGATGCTGAGAAGGTTGAAGGTGTTGTCCAGCATCACACAGCACATCAGAGACAGGCTCACACAGAAAAACAACTTTGTTTCCCCTGCCTGCCTCCTCTGCCCATCAGACTACGTTATCCGCTCTGCTTCTCTACAAGCATTGCTGAACTGGCTTCCTCCTGCTACGTCTGCATGGAGGCCCACCAAGTGCTACCACAACACATCCACACAGCTCCTCTCCCAGCTCCCTTCCCTCCAGATATCCCAGAACAGTTATTGTTCCTGGCTCTACCTTGCAGATCCCCGAGGTCGGAGCTGACTGCACTTTTCTCCTTCTCCTGGTTTTCCACCCTTGCCTTCAGATGCTCTATCTCCCTGCGGAGGTCTGCGATGATGCTGGTGTATTGGTCGATGTGGTAGGAGTTGTTCCACAGGTTACGTTTGACCTGGTGAACCAGAATACGTGAGTGTTTGTCCCACAGCCCGCTATTGGTACAATGGCTGCAAACAAAGCTATGCTGAATCCTGTGACAGGGAAGAATTTTCCCTCCTGAGCGGGGAAACTGTAAATTAGTGGTTTTCTCTAACTCTGGAAAATTCCCAAAAGGTAACAGAGAAAACCAGGGACTCTGTGTCCACAGGGAAAACACAGAGATCCACAAAGAGTGAAAACCCTGTTGTAGATCATTGTTCATCTTCCTTCACCCCACAAGCTTCTCCATTTTATTCCTCCTTTCTGCAGCCCCTCAGTTCCTCTTCCAGGCCCAGCATTTCCACTGGGACATTCCCCATATGATGTCCTTCCCAAAGCCGTCTTCTGACCATCATTCCTTATGTTCTCCACCCAGGTCCATACCAGGCACATCATCCTCTGCCTTTCCATCATTCTGCTCCCTTGCTTTGCCCCTCATGTTCCTCTTCTCATCCATTTTTTTGTGACCCACACAGTTTACTTTCCACTGTTCCCTTCATCTGCTTTTATTCTCTTCTATCGCTCACACTGAGCTTCTCTACCATCATGCACTACCCGCCTCCTGAAGTTTGTTCTCCCTTCATCCACTACATCTTTTATTTCCACTTTGCAAGCTTTTAATCTCTAACCCCCACCTCCTTGTGAGTTGTCTGCTCATTTACCTGTGTCTTGATGTTTTTTGCTTGATAGGCATACATCAAGGTCGTTCGAGATTCTTCAAAGGAGGTACTGGCTGGGCTGATATGTGCAATCATAACAGTCCTGCTGTTGCCCCCTAATGAGTCCTAGAAGGATGCAACGTTGATGTGGTTAGTATGGACACGACAGGGCCTTGCTGCTCAGTGGTAACCGCCATGGCTGGGTACGCCTGCAGTTCATTGAGATTCTGGTGGAGAATCCCAATTAGAAGTGAAGGAAGTGCTGGTAAAAGACCATTCGTTAAGCCCTCTCTCCATCAAAAGAAAAAAAAAAAAATCAATAAGTAATTAGGTTTCTACAAAAGAAGAATTTTGCAAGAAAATCGTAATTTTCATGAGAGAAGCCTGCCTTTTACTCCATTCCTTCTCTCCACCGTCTCTAGAAAACACATCTGTCAAGCAGCTCAGCACTAAGGCTTGGGGTGAGGGTCATAAATGAAGTTGTAAAGGATCCATAAAATAACCAGTGTAGCAAAGAGCCTGTCTGCGATCTTTCTGATTTCCTAAGGGAGCGGTGACTTATGACGGCACATAGTCACTCTTAGTCCCTCTTCCTCCTGCCCCACAACATTCAAATTTATTGACCAATTTCAGCCAAGTCTTGTAGATGGGATGAAACATTCAAAGTCAGTAAGTTCATTAAAAAAGAAAAAGAAAATCACTTATCACCTGAGACCTTAGAGACATACAACTCAAATCTATAGCATTTCCTTAACCCTATAGGAGGTCCTTCCTTAACAGCACAAATGACAAGACAACATGTTTGTTACAGAGACAGACAGCACTATCCAAGCCAAGCCCTGATCGCATTGCAAAGCTCATGCAAGATCCTGGAGGAGCGTTCCAGGCTGGATAAAGACAACACACAGAGATATTCCAGGATCAGCTCTCAAGCCCTGTCTGATTTGGGTGGTGATACCAGCAACAGACACGCCAAGCTCCTTGCAGACCCGCAGTGTACGGTACCTTCAGCAGGCGTGTGAGTTTGCTGTCCCGAAAATTGACAAACTGGGCCCGGCTCCCCCCCTTCTTGCTCAAAGCGTTGATGCAGTTGCCCAAAGCCAGCAGCGAGCGGTTGATGTGGGCTCCTTCCTTCATCCTCTTGCCCTGGTTCTGAGTCTGTTGGGAGGGGAGGGAGGGAGGAGGGACAGACAGACAAAGCACACGCTTCAGAACGGTGGGTCTGCGCCTGGAGAAGATGTGGGGCATCACCGTGATCAAGGTTCGGATGTCAAAGCAATGCCTCCTACAAAATCGACCTGAAAGCACAGGGTTAAACCCCACTCTGAGGCACAGAGGTGCTGGTAGGAGTACGTTTCTGGGGAAAGATGAGCCAGCTCTGACCTCTTGGTTCTTCAAAGATAGCTATTGATTATCTTCTAAAGATGATTTCAGAAATTAAGAGATATAACTACATCACTCCAGAATTCCTGGTCTCAGTAGAAACACTGGATATGTAAAATCTCTCCCTCAAATCACCTCCCTGAGTTCCAGCATTTCCTCATTGCCACAGGAGCCAGTTGCTTTGTTTTCCACCCACCAGCATCCCTCTGTTCCACTGGTACCAGCTTTCTCTCCGACAGCCCAGCCGATCCCTGCCTAACAAACCTCAGCTTCTCTAGAGACGTGAAATTCACTGCTGCTTTTTCAGACCTGAGAAAAGGCTGCACCCAAAAGCTGGTTTACATTTTTCCAATGATACTAGTTGGCCTAATAAAAGATATTACCAATACGATCAAACTTGGTCAATTTTTAGGCTGTCTGAGGTCCAAGCTACTGCTCTAAAGCAACAGAGAAACAAAGATGTTTCCCCAGGGATGGGACCGTGCATGCAGACCCTGCACAGCAGGCCAGGGAATCCAGCCTGGTCTCACCAAAAGCTGCTGAGCTGCAGCCGTACCTGTGCTGCTCTCTCTGACCCCGCCAAGTCGACCATGAAAAGCTTTCCAATTCTCATTTCCTCTCCGATCGCCTTCCTTCGGCGTTCCTGCGTCACCGTCACCTGCAGCACTGCGTGCGAGCGGGAGGACGTCTTGTTGGCAGCGGTGGGTTCCTGGGTGCGCTGCTTGTTTCCTTTTGTCAACAGCTGCATGATCTAAATGACACAGAAAAGGGGTTTTGCTGTTGCTTTTCCCCTGATCTCCTCCTTTGGCTTGTGACCTTGCAAGTGCGAGTTTGTTGGGTTTGGGGCTGTTTTCCTGGGAGGCCTGTTTATGTCATGTCCGAGGCACACGTCGAAGTGCACATCAGTGTAGCTCGAGGGAGTTTTGTTATTTCGTCTCCTTCTCTGAATGGTTTGTTGACAGATGTGTACACAAATCAAAGCACTCTTGTCCTTCCAGGAAAGCAGCACATATCCTGGGAAGCAGAGCTAGCAGGAGGTTAGCTGGGGATTTTAGTCACTCACAGGGTTCCATCTTCAGCCCTTTCCATACAATTCATCACATTAATTGGTTTCCTCCAAGGTCCTGCTACAAAAGGTCCTTGCTACACAAGGTCCTTGCTACTGAGCAAGCCACCAGCAATGGGAAAGTGTCAAGAACTTTGAGTGCACTGTTGCATGTGAGCACAATCCCCCTCCCTTTTTCCTCACCACGGACCGTAGCCCCACGTACCTCCTGAGCATTTGTGATAGAGACTTCTGTAATTCCTGCTATTTGGATGCTGCCTCTGGAGTCCTCTCTCAGGTCTGAGAACCCTGAGGATGGGTTCAGGAGGTCACGGATCACTTCGTTATAGATCTGAGGGTAAGAAACGAGGGGTTGGTGTGAGACTAGCACTGGGTCCTCAGATCTGCAAAGAGGGTTGCGTTGATCCTGTATTTCTTTGGGGTGGAAGAGAAGACGGGAAGATTCGAGCTGTACAACCCGAGGGGAGCATCATGCGATGGACAGACTTGGACACCCCACTTCCCATTGTGCCTGCTCCCAGGGGCTTGCTGAACTCCCACAGAGCCCGGATCCAAGGCAACACAGACACTTCACCTCCAGGTAGGACATGGAGACTGTGTAATCCATCTCTTCAGTGGTAGCTTCAAGGGCCTTAAAGAGGTCATCAAGAGTGCGGATGTAAATCCCCGGCTCACAGTCCGTCCCTAGCATCGTGTAGGTTTTTCCTGCTCCTGTTAAAGATACAAAGAAGAGCAAATACCAACTTCCATGTGAGCAAGTTTGCACAACAAGTAGAGCCTGATTTCCTTCTGATTTCTGTCCTTCAGACCCAAACTTCCTCTAGTTACTCCCGCTTCTCACCCAACAATTACACTGCCGCCAGAAGGACATGGCACATGCCGTCCAAAACGGATAGGAAGAGGACTTGCAGATGGGAAGATAGGTAGGTTAGCTGTCTAGCTGGGTGTTCAGAGCTGGGATAGAAATGTATTTTCATACAGTCTGTAGTCTATAGGTGCTTTCTGCAGCTATGTCTGTTCTCCTGAGATCAGCCTCCAGCATTGCACAGCTGCCCTCATCTCCTCCTCCTCCTTAATGGGAAGATTTGTCTCCACTGAATTCCAGCCCAGTTAAGTGACTTCTCAAACAGTGCAGCTTTGCTGTTACTTTAGCATTAAAGGAAGATCCACGCTTCCTGATGAGAAAATGGCATTTCAATGCTTTAGTCTTGGACTCAACAATAAGACATTGATTTGCATAATAGTGCATTTCTGGTTTGTACAGATACATTTTATTCATCTGGAGCAGCACAGCAACAGGGACTACTTTACCTGTTGGACCATATGCAAAAATGGTTGCATTGTAGCCAGAAATGACTCCTCCTATCAGGCTTTTGGTTGTAGACACATATACTTCCTCCTAATTCAGTCAAAAAAGCATATACTTAGGGTCAGGCATAACAGCTGTCCAAACAATCTATACCTAATCACATTCTCCATAGTTTTCTCACTATGTTTTACAAATTTCCCATACTTTGGAACGATTCGTGAACAATTTGAATTTTGACACATCATCAAAATGAGCAGAAAAGCAGAGGTTTATTGAATTTTCTAAAGGCAGGCAAGATGCAGGAGCTTACTAAAATAAATGTCCTTAAATTTGATTTTATTTTCCTGGGACTCTGAATACGGAATGCTTTGTTTTTCCTTTGTGTCTGCTGAAGAAGGGAATAAATTCTCTCCCTGACCTTATATTTTATTGTGAAGTGCCACTGGGCTTCCAAAAACACCTCAGGTAGCATACAAGGAAGCTACGCTGAGGTTTCACGTGAAAGAGAAAATGGACAACTGAATTGCTTGTGAGAAGCAAGGCTGCATTCACCATGATCTCATCCACCGGAGACCTCGGGAGACAAAGCTCTTCCTCTCTGCTCGGGTGTGTTGCATCTGGGGAGCACCAGTGCGGGAGGGAGAGGCAGACCGAGCACTGCCCGTGTCTGCCCACGTCTCTGACAAAAGCAAAACCCTCACGGTCCTCTCGCCTTCAGCACTGTCACCTTTTGTCTGGGTGACATGTGGCCTCTGGGATGGGCCGTTCTACTCACCTGCCAAAAACATTGGTCTAAGCAGGGAAAACAATTCTAATGTTAAGGCTGTTGGTTAAAAAAAAAAACAAAAACAAAAACCACAAAACAAAACAAAAAACCCAAACAAACAAAAACCAACCAACCAAACAACAACCAACAAACAAACCAACCAACCAAGAAAAAAACAAACCCAAAACAGGAAGGCTGTTACCTGGGTTGCTCTGTAGTCAAAAACCACGTCAAACACAAATGTTTTTTCTCGGGATCTGTTAGCTCGCAAGACATCATCTGGATCTTCACTTGGATCCATCAGGACCATGCTCTGTTACAAAACACAGTCAGAAGAACCGTTACGTCTGGGTCTGGTTAACGGCCCGTCGGGATTTCTTACAGCACTATCACCATCGCATCTCTTGGCCAAAGGAATGTTGCAGTACATGGAAAAAGCACTTATGTGCACAATGCAGAGGCCCTTGTTTCGTAACTGATGTCACAACTTCTATAATTTGGAGAACTAGTCGCTGCTGCAAAACGCTTTGAAGGTCCGTTGTGCAGTGAAACAGTCGCTGGAATTGGGTAACAGCGGTGGTTATGGGGACGTGGCACCCAACTAACCCCCTGGCAAGAGGGAGGGGGACAGGACCTCTTACCTCAATTGTCAGCCAAGATTCAGACTGAGGAGCTGGGAAAGAAAATAGTTAAGTTCCTTGGGAACAAAAATGCCCAAAGTCATCTTCCAAAGCCTTTCCTGCAGCAGGACTGATAGAAATATCTGCATTGCTCAAGGACAGAAACTTCATTCCATTTCTGGCTTTTATTAAGGAGAAAACAAAGGTGGGAGAGGAGTCGCAGCAGGTTACAGAACTGGTTCTGTTTCTTTTCAGTCCCTCATGATCTATTCTAGTACATAATTATCACGGTATATAATTACTGTGGAGAATGGTATTCTTTCTCCTCCACTGAAATGGCTCCTAAGGAGATGCTGGAGCCTCAAGGGAAGGGACAGAGAACCCTGTGCCTCCTACCCCAGAGCAGCTTTCACTCTCTCTCAGGTAAACAGATCATTAGATAAGCAATTAGAGCATAGATCAACCACCACTTGACCTACAGAATAACTGCTTTGGTGTGCCAGGCATGGGAGAGACACGAGTATCTAGGACAAGTGCCCATGGGCCTTCAGGAAACATCAAGACTTTGGTTTTTCTTTTTCTTTTGCATGTCCTGCTAAATTCCAAGCCTCTAAAGAGCATCTCTAGTTTTCATTTGCAAGTTTACAATTACCAGGACGGCACTTTTTTTTTTTTTTCCAATTCCTTAGTTTTCACTGGTCCAGCTCAGGCCTTAAAACCTGAAGCAACACAAGAACAAACTCCGCAGGGAACTCCTGGTTTATCTTTGGCAGTGGCATTTGCCTGCAAAAGATGGGCTGACAGGTGATCGTGCAGGTGCAAGTGTGACAGCGAAGAGCAGAGCTTGGAGAATGAGGTCAGCATGTTTCCTTTAGAAATTCTGCCTGTAACACTTCCAGGCCCCTATTACTGAGTTCATGACATCCAAATTTTGCTTACAATGTATCCGTGCATCCAAGAGAGTCCTCCCCTTTCAATCAGAGGCTAAAACCTTGTCTAACTACCATTATTCTAAAAGCATAAATCTTCTGCTATTGCACGGAAGCATTAAAACATAACAAGACACTAACAGTCAATTTTGAGTTAGGATTAATAAGCAGATAGAAGCAGTTCTAAATGAGTTAGGCTGGGAGTAAAAATAGCAGGGAACATGATGTAAATCAAAATACACCAAGAGATCTAAGTACTTCAACTGCCCAGTCAATTAATTTGCTTTCATAATTACAGTTATTTGCATTATTAAGAGAAACTTATTCTCATAGATAGAAGTTACTCAGACTAACGCAGTGCACATTTCCCTCCCAGATTTCCATTAGAGAAAAAGAATCTCAGGGCAGATGATGCAAGCCTGAATAAGCTGTATAAAAATAAAGCTGATACCCTTGTGAGGTTAATGGCTGCTTTAAAAAAAAGAAAAAAGGATGTTTCACCAGTAAGGTGTTAAACAAAAATTGCATTTGTAACATAATCCATAAAGAGGAAAGAGCAATTCATGCTCTCTTTGCTTCTGAGGGCTGCTATCGTTTGACTATTGCGTGGAGACAAGAGCCAAGATATATTACAGAATTAGTGTGTGTTCAGGGAGGGTTCAGAGAATGATCAGCTGAAGCACGACAGAAAATAATGGGATTTACATTGGAAAAGAAAGTAAACAACAAAGGCACAATAAAAATAGGTAAATAGATGTAGCGATGTAGAATAGGTAAGTCAGGACCTCCTGTGATTCCTGCCTCAGGGAGGAGCAGGAGGCAAAAGGTGCAGAACTGGAGGAAAGCAGCACCGTCTGCACGGACAGCTGCATCCCTGCTGCGTCTCAGCGAGGCCAGGAGTTGTACAGGATGGGAACCAGAAGAGCCAGAATCTCGTGGTGGTCCGACGTGGTACCCAGAGGCCTCACGCACCGACTGCCTGGCCCCCATCGTGGGGGCTCTGCTGTGCCCCAGGCACAGCCCCCAGCTCACCTGCTCACCCACTCTGCGGGCAACGAGGGCAGCTCCCTCCTCCACTTCTGCTTCGTTGATGGGACGGATGCGAAGGGCCACCTGCGCACACAGCACACACACAGCTGGACACGTGCTGAGGCTGCTCGGACTGACCTGCAGCAGGGCTGAGCTCTGTGCAAGCACCAGCCAGATCGACAGCTTCTCGCCGCATCTCTTCCACGGATCGATCTGAAAACCTTAAGCTTAGGGCCTAGAGAGTTTAAGGAAATTTATAAAGTTTAAACCAGTGAATTCTCCCATGATTTGCACTTTTATCTTGACAAATTCTTCCTCTGTCTTCCCCCGTTTCTGTCTCTAACGCAGCAAGACTCCAACTGATTGACAGAGAAGGCGGCAGAATGAACTCAGCCGTGTCATTGCTGCTGCCAGCAGGAACCGTCAGAGGTCTGGGACCGTGGTACCACCAGCTGTAGAGCTGAGCACACTTACACATTCCCCCAGTGTTCCCAAAACACTGATTAACGTTATCCATGACAGAGAAAGGGAATTGCGTTTCACTAAGTACCCATTTCATTTAATCCCAGGTAGCAATCATTATGAGCCTGTTCAACCAGATCAGAGCAAGTTGGCCCTGATGTGTGCAGGTCCCGCGAGGTTCCTCGGAAGCTGGAATTCATCGCAGGACTGGAGCGATTATAAAGTAGCAATTAACTGCCAGTGCCTCAGTGTCACAACTCAATCAGTCAGAAACATGGTACGCCAATTTGAAACACAGACGATAATTTGACTCGAAGATTCAAAACACACAGGCTGTGCTCGTCAGTATCGATAACGTACAAGAGCATCTATACATTAAATGGGCTGAAATATACGTGAGGCAATAGAGAAAGTGTGGTGCCATGGATCCGTTGTGGGTTTATTAATCGGGCCCCCTGAAGCTGGGGTCCTGCTCTGGCCCTGACTCACTTCACAGCGGTGGGTGAGTCGCACAGTCAGTCTGAAATCCCAAACCTACGCGCCTGCCGGAGGGTCTCCAGAGAAGACCACCAGTCCGAAACTCCACTTAAAAGCTGCCCTTGGCATATCAGTTAATAACCAAGATTTGAAAAAAAAAAACCAACACACACTATTTTCACCTTTCCATAGCTGTTTTTCCCTTCATAAATACAGCAGCATCCCCTCAGCAGCTCCTGACAGGAGAGCTGATGCTGATAAAACACTGCATGATGCACAGAAACGATGCCTCATCGGGAGGGCGTGCAATTATTGAAACAGACTCCTTCTACAGCCTCCTCAGGCACAAGCAACTGGTTCCTACAGGAACCAGATTTAATTCCACAGTAACGACTCAAGCTACCTGTCAATTTAATGAAGGTTTCACGAACAGCTTCCGATCTCAAGCCTGGCAGTAGAATTTTTGAGGAGTCCCAGCAGCAAAGGAACGTTTCTGTGCTGTGAATATCTCTCAGGGTACAAGGTGAGCTCCTTGGCTTTGGAGAGCTTTTAATATTCACAAGAACACAACAATTAGCTTAGCTTCATCATCTCCCTAAACACGTCTGAGTGACACTGTTACAAGCATCTCATTGCCAGGGGCTGAACTTATCTTAGAAGCATTTGAAAATATCATCTTGCACACCATAATCCCAAATCCTGCAGGAGTACAGGACAGTGCAAGTCTCTCTTGGACAGCCTCAACCTCCAGCATAGTCTGGTTAATCGCTGCATTGGTAGCCACCGAGGGTAAGAAAACAAACCCAAATAAGCAGCATGTGGAGAAGGGTCACACCAAGTACTAAGGCTTTTCCTTGCCTTAGAGAGGAACGCAAGCTATTCTAGATATTATTGACTTTATTTTAAGCGATTCCACTCTGACCAGAGGTTTCTGTGTCTGCCCCAGTCGTGTTTCGGCACATTGCAAGAGTAATGCTTGAGTGGGAGCCACAGGGCTGAAGGTTGAAACGTGGGAAAGGATCACATTTTCAAAGCACTCCTTTTCCTCTGATCAAGACAGACGCCGAGGTCCTGCAGCGATGGCGAGGACTCTGACAGGACTATGACCCCAGCTGCTTTTTGCTGCTTACTGTGAATCTGTCACAGATCCCAGAGATGGGCACACTGAAAAAATCACTTTCCAAGGAGGACTAACCACCACCACCTGCCAGGTTACCCACTCTCTCCTCTCCTAATACACATTTTTGTCCTCTGCAGGATGCTTATACGCAACTTCTGCTTTAAATGGCACAGCGCTTTGCACAGCGAGAGCAAGTCTGGGTTTTTTCCTTTGGCTGGGCCACAGAGCCCAGAACACCAGAAGACAGCTGAGGAATACAATTGGAAGGATGTCAGGGCTGGGTACAACCCAGCTGCTCCTCCCCATCCACTGTCCTCCCCTAAGCAAGCGGACTCACCGTGAGCTGCTGCTCCTTCCCGGCCGAGCTGCGAGATGCTGCCAGCTCAGGGCTGGGGGATTTGCCCAGCGAGGTGCACATCTTGGTGGAGCTTCAGGAGGCTGCCCAGGCAGGAGACTGCTTCAGAGGCAGCAGGGATCACCCCAGGGAGGGAAAAGAGAGGCAACACCTGCGCTCCCCCAGGTGGGAGATGACTGCAGGAACAGCAGGAGAGGCAGCAGTGAAATACTGAGCCCCAGGGCAGGAAGGGGCTGCAGCAAGCACCATGCCCAGCACTCCACCTTGTACAGGACATGGTGACAAGGGTCAGGACACTAAGGACTGGGAGCAGCTCTGGCTTGTTAGGTGACATGACAAGCAAAACGATCTGCCTGCAAGGCCACATTAGTTCTTTACACACAAATCCAGCTGCACACCCCCTTGGTGAGCAGGCCACAGGCTTCATTTTTGCCCTCCAGGATGCCAGATTTCTTCTCCCCTCCTTCCCTTAGGATCAAACACACAGCACAACCAGGCACAAAGGCCCACGCTCCACCAAGAGCTGAGCAAGAAGCACCCTGGGCCCTCTGGTCTTGCACAAGAACTGACAACAGTCGTTGAGACCACCAGGAAAAGAGTCTGCTACCTCCTTGAGCTAAGTGCAAGCTTCCATCCTACTGTCACCACATGCACAGTGGGGTTTCATGACTCCGCGTTCAGGAAGGCAATCCTTCATTATTTTTAGTGTCAGTCCACTCATTACAATAACCTATTTAAAAAAAAATAAACCAAAAGAAGATCACCTTTTGACTTCATTATTTATTGACAGTAAAGGAGGCAAAGCTCATAAAGGTTACAGTAAGGTTTTATTAAAAAATAGCAGAATTTAAAAAGTTTAAACTTAGTGTAGCAAGTGAACAAAGCCTGCTCTAGGAAGTTTGCATTAAGGACTGCAGATGGTTAAAAGGTCATGAGAACATTTATTTATAACAAATTCAAAATAAAGATGTAAAAGTGAAGAACAGTCCAGGATTGTATGAATTGTTCCAGTTAATCTTGCTATTAAAGAACAATCATTAAAAATACTTAAGACAATACTTTAATAACAGGTACATACTATCCTACGTAATGCTTAAGGTTTGTTTCCCTCCCCACCTCCTCACCCAAATTCTGGGCCCTTCAAGGCATTCAGTGAGGTACGACTGCTGTTGGAAGCATTTCCCCCCACCCACACATCTCTCTATACCGTACCTACAAACCAGCTGCTGTTTTGACCATCCTTCAGAAGCCCTTGTACAGGCCACAGGCTGAAAGCCAGTGGCATAAAGCACCTGAAGCTACACACCAGCATGGATTCAGTCCAGCAAGACCCTTCCTCACTACCACGAGTCCTCGTGTTATGCCGAGATGCAAACAGACTAGTTTACCAAATACATATCCATAAAGCTATTTCAGTAGCATATAATTTGCCAAAAGCATTTGAAGAGAGAAACATTACAGCAAAGACACAGTTAATTGAAGTGTCAGAGCAGTGCCAGATGTGCCAGCACCACACATAAGAGGCCTTAATTGTGGGTCAGGACAACATCTTGTCAACTTCCAAAGCTTCTACAGGAGCATCAAGGTTTGGATCCGTTTGGGTTTTTTTGGTTTTGTTTTTTTTTCGTCCCCTTACTAATGATCCACACTTCAGAGAAGCACCTTAGAAGAGAATTCAATTCATTTAACATTGGCATCACATTTCTTTACTTTGAAAATGGCCAGGAATAAACCACAGTAGCTTATTAAAACTTCATGGTACAGAGGGAAAAAAATCTTTCAACTCAATCTGTAACTTAGAAAATGGTTGAGAAGTCAGCTCTTCAAAACTAAAGGGTAATTAAAATTACTCCTGCTATGGAAGTTCCAGCCATTACTGGAGAACTTAGTTGGAACTACATGATCTTTACGTTCCCTTCCAACGCAAAGCATTCTATTCTATGATTTTAACTTTGATGTGCTGTGCTAGAAGTTCTCCTGCTCTGTTTTGCTAGAAAGTATTTTTTCCAGCCTAGTTGAGAGGTGAGCTTGGTAAATATTGTAGACAAAACTTTAATCATCTACATATACATTATGAGTGAACAAATGCCGAAAACTGGAAACTAAGAGACTTCTGGAAAAAAAACATTCACTGATTTAAGAGGGAACTACTGAAACTAAGTCAACAACATCATTATGGAACAATTATTTTGAAGAGTCTTCTCGGTGAAGAGAACGTGGGAGTTAATTGAGGCGTTTGTGCATTTGCCATCACAGCAAGTTCACCTGAGGACAAAAAAGTGAGTGGTAAGCGTCTCACTGACCTCTGGCTGCCTCGGGCTGACGGGGGTGACCCTTTGCCCAACAGGTACCTTCTGCTTGGCACTTCAGATCTGTCAGATGCTGCTGTGTGAGTGAGCTCAGGGTTAAAGAAGGACCAGTCAAGAGGGCTCACATTAGCAATTTCACTGGCCAGCTCAGGAGAGAAGACAGGAACATCCTCGTTCTCCTCTGCCCCTCAAAGGGCAAGCTGCAGGCCAATCTCTCTCACTGCTTGGACAACATCCAGAAAATAATTTCTACTCATAAATACAAATACAGAGAAGTTGCTCCACCAGCTTTAAGTACACTTCCTCTCTCTGAGCACAAAGGGCTTTAGGAATGAAATTAGGTACTGCAACAGTGAGCGTTACGCACGTGTATACAGAGCACTTCTCTGAAAGTTCACAATGTTCACTAGTAAGTCTTAGATTTATCCAATGATTCCTGAGGCTAGTATCAGTTTGCAAATGGTTTAAGAATTCCACTCATTTTCTAGTCACTCCACTATAATGAACAGGCCAACTTGTCAGATTAATGAGCTGTCCCGTCACTGTAAAAACCAAACAAACCACAACACAAAACCACAAGAGCCATGAGGAACTGAGATTAAAAAAAAAAAATCCAAATAAACCATATAGTCAATACAGCAAACACACTCTTATTACTTTGGATATGTTTGACTTTCATCATTCAGGGAAAGATTCCCTACAAACAACGCGTAGCCAGCCTGGTTTTAGTATAGGTCTGCTTTTATTTCCATATTCAGCTCTTTGAGGGAGACATCCTTTCACAATCTGAAAGGAGGAGGATATAGCCCACTGTAGTGCTGCTTCAGCACACTAAAACACATCGTACGAAAAATGGTTCTGTTGACTTTTCCCCAAACAAAATGAACACCTGTCCATGCACTCGGGACATAGAAAGAGTCCTGAAACAGAAACATCGTGTGTGTGTAAGACAGAGGTGCACTGATGAATCTCACCCCACTGGCAATAGTCTAAAAACTGCCAGTTGGTAAGTACTGCACAGGAGTCAGGAAGTAAATACTGGTAGTAGTGGATTTAAAGAGAAAAAAAATAATAATCAAAGCCTAAAAAAAAATAATAAAAATTTAAAAGCAGCGCCTTTCCAGTATCTCACTGCAGCAGGCAGCAAGATTTAAAGGCACTACAATGTGTCAGAATGGAGAAAACCTGGTGCATCCACCCTTCCAGAGTGCAAGAATATGGACTAAAAATTCCGAAGTTGATGTAGGCTTTCTGAAAATGAACGAACTTCCTTTCAGCACAAGATATGGTGGTGCTGCAGAAAAGGAAAAAAAAAAAGAGGTGAATTAGTTACTGTGCTTTTATACAAACAGCTCAACCTCACCACAGATGCTAGCTGGTGAAAGGCTACATAGCATGTGTTTCACCTGTTCTTAAACTGGTATTTGTTTAAAATCACACTCTAAGCAGATTCCCTCCCTCTTCCTTCCATAAATCTCCCACATATGGGACACAGATAAGCCAGATTCAAATATACTGAAAGGTATCAAGGGTATAAATTTTTCTACGGGTCCAAGAGGTGTAGTGTTCATATTTTACTTGAACTCCTTAGATATCTGGAGGCTAAAGAGCTGTAGGGTGACTTAGAGCTGCAAAAGGCATACTTCCAGTCTCCCCTTACCCTTCCTTAAGTGAAGTTCTAAACGTGACAGAGCAGGAACCTATTCCAGGTTTTAAATCCTATGTGAGTGCTTTCACTGCCAAAATATCTTATCCCTCCTCAATACAACAATGTCAAGCTCCCTAAAGGGCATTTCCTACAACAGAGGCTGAAAGTAGCCTCTGTTTTCAACATACAAATATATAATATGAATTCACAAAAAACAACTGAGAAAACCACTGGATTAAATAAAAGATTTCAGCAACAAGCAGTGGCAGTCAGTACACAAGAATCTGCAATCACCTGAATTCTACCCACATCTCCAGAAAATGATATTAGAGTTCATGTGGATATTTAAACACCTACTTGAAGTTTTAATCAGTCCACAGTAAACTTGCTGCATAATCTTTAGCACAGCATTTAAACTCTGTCCAGTCTTGAACTAAGCATGCAATTGTTCCAAAGGGCAAAGTTTCTATCTCCTACTAACTACAGTTCCTCCTACTGACAGAAATTACAGAGTCTGCAATATACAGTGTTTAGAAGTTGACCACGACTCTGTTGTGGGTTCCATCACTCTGGCAAGACAGTATAAATCTGACCATCTGTGATTACTTTTAAAAAAAGCTTTTGCCCCCTCTAGCCACAGAGAAAACATAAACCAACTCTAAGAACACTCACGCAACAAACAGACCTAACCTTCTCAAGCAAATGATCAAATCTACAGCAATTGCTGACAGGAAAAGTCTCTCTCTACTGACAGGTATGCTATCTTACCACAGTTTTGTTAATTACTCTGGTTCTGCAAGGGTAATAATTTCTTCATTGATAAAAAATTCAACAGTCTCCTCCTCCCAGTCATCGACATTGCTGTCCAGCTCATCTGTGTCCACCCCTGGAATGGAGAAAATATTAATACTGAATCCATCAAACGCGGCAGCAATGGAAAGATTTGATGCTCTTGGTAGAAACAGTCCTTAAACCAGCAGTGAAATAAGAGGTATTTGCTGCTTTAAATCATAACAAGTACACGCTAAATTCATTAAATGACAACCAAGGCATTACTGTCTCCCACCACAGGGCTTTTGCAGATTTTTCTGGTTAAACGCAACACT